ATGTGAAGTGGTATTGATCGAGGTCAATCTTCAATTTTTGTGCTTCGCTTCATGAGAAGTTGTTTGCGACTCTTTTATATGGCCAGCGTACAGAGGACAAACATCTTAGATAAGGCCAAGACTCCTTCACTGTACTCTGCTCAGATAAACATTTTTGTCAATACTGCTGCAATTTGATGGTGTGGAGAGGAGGCTGAGGTATTACAGAAACCAGGGAGAAGGGGAAATAAGTCACATACCTAAAATGTCTCCTCAAAAAAAAATAAATTTAAGAAATAACAACTCTACTACAGCCTGCCCCCTCTAGATTTAACCTTCCAGAGAAGTGTTGCACCTTGAATCAGCTGAAGGTATAATAATATTAGCTCTCCAGGAAAGCTAATAAAGGAATGGACAATAAATAATGTGGAATTAAGAGGACAACAAGGACCAAATGAATGCTGATGAAATAAGTAATATCACGGTGAAAGCTAATGAAAATTCTTTTTTCTGCTGTTGTGCTCATTTATCACACAGGAGTAAAAAAAACAAAAACAAAAAAAAAAAAAAAAAAAAACAAAAAAAGAAAACTATGCACAGTCATTAAGAAAGCTACTGAGAAATACTGCAGTAAATTGTGTCAGTAAATGGGTATTTTTCACTCCATAATAATTCAAATATTTGTTTTGATGTTACACAGTGTCAGATCATCAGCAGTATCAAGGCAACTATGAATTATAACAATTGAAATAATTACAAAAATATACATACACTTTAAAACAATACAGTCACCCATCATCATTTAAATTTAACTGCAAGAGCAAAAGAGGTGCATTTGTTCTAGGATAGCAGGCCAAAAAAAATGCAACGTATTTACCAGTATGAATAAAAAGGAAAAATGCCATGGGATTTTACTGCAAAAAAAATAAACTATGGCAGAAATCTAAGATCAGAAGAATTATGTTCAATATACCTCCAATGAAGCCGTATCTCCCAAGTTTCTCAAACAGTTAAATAAACTCACTAAAAACTCCAGACATCTGGAGCCTAGTTTCAAGCCTGGAGAAATGAACAGAAAGAGTAAAAAGCGCCTGCCCATTCCTAATTACAGCAGAGTCGCCAGAGAGTCAAATTTACAAAGCTACCACAATGCGATGGGCATTATTTTTTTTTTTTTTTCCATAAAGGCAGAAAGAAAATGAACTAGGATCCTGCAGATGCTTTGGCTGAGGTCTCTGGAAGAAACCTAGCAAATGACCATCTGAGCAGCATCTGGATCTAACTGTTCCAGGAATTTTCACTTTTAAGAAATTGAAAAATCATCAGTTTAGGAAGAAAAAGGACATTGCATGATGGTGCATACAGAACTTTCACTATTAAATTACACTAAATCGTTGCTTTGTTTCATTAAACCCTGTGTCACAGCAAGTTTCTTGGAACACCAGACATGCAAATCTTATCGTGAGGCCTCTGCCTAAAAACTTCACTGCATAAAGTATTTTTCTTAAGGTGTCACAAGCAACAAACAAAAAACATTATACATAAAAAAGGATTATTTTTCTCTAGCATATTTTTCAATCTGCAGTGAATATGTAAAAGGTACCTCTTCCAAATTAGCAAATATTAAATTAAAAAAAAATACAAAAAGCTGAACGTCACACACCCTGTACTCTTCCTAGGAATTCAAAATCAGCTGGTAGCCTTCACTTCTCATACCTCCTTACTAAAAAAGCACTAGGGAATTGCTGACAGGGTTCAGCATTGTGTAGAATATTAAATATCTTTTTTGCAATACCCTGGTGACTCTTGAGTCTGTCTCTTACAGCACCATATGTACAGCTGTGTTGGAAAGAGGAAGCTATTAAATATATTAAAAAGTAGAAATATTACCAATAGACACTTCATCAAATAACTGGATCTCATTCATCCCCAAACAAAGCAAGAAATGTTAAGGTTACATCAACATAAGAAAATAACTCTGGATTTAATAACACCACAAGCCTGTTGAACATATTTGAAAGTAAAAACATTGCTTAATAAAACAGATTAGTGTTTCTGAAACAATGAATATAGCTTTCAACCATCAAATGCTTCGGTAATAAAGACATTGGACTCAGTCTTGAAAGGTACTGGGTATCTCAGTTCCCACACCACAGTCACGGCTGGATGGTCTTCAGGTCCAAATATATCACCCTCAGTTTACTGCCAACTTAGGACTCAGAATATTTTGTATCAAAAAGGATTTAATAAAAGAAAAAAAGAAAGAGAAAGCATTTTTTTGCGATCACATTTTTGAGTATTTTCTTGAAAGTTTGCCCCCCTCTCACATACACATTCAAGTATTTCATCCACATCTCCAGCTAACGCTTATGGGAAACAGCAACAGCAGACATGCATTCACGAAGGCATAAAGGAGACGACCACAATAACATTTCAAAAACATCTACATGCTTAAGGACCACGTTATTTTTTTTTCCAAAATGATTTTCCAAGGGACACATTTTTCTTGGTTTCTAAGCGTATAAAGACCACAATAAGAAAGTGGATTTTCAATGGCTCCTACCTCGTAAGAGTTTAAATCAGCAGTAAGAGAGCACGTGCTGCCAAAACTCCAAGCAACCATTTAGCTGCGCTTTTACACGCAAGACTTTTACAAGTAGGGCTGTTAGGCTCTAGAAGCCTAACACCCATCAGCTTCTAATAAGATTTGCAATCTTAAATGCTCAAGTAACTCCTGAAAACAGGACTTAAGCTGTTTGTAAAAGTTTCCCGACGGGCCCCTGTCTGGTGAAGCATAGCTCGCAGGCAGCACAGAGCGCTCTCAGGAGCCCTCGCGTTTTCAGTGGTGGTCTGGGGAAGCATCGCTGCATGTTTACGTAGCAGGAGTTCTTCTCTCACACTTCAGAGAAAGAAATGAAAGAACAACGAACATACATATGAAACCGGGCTAAGCACAACTTCACGTAAAAAGTACTGGCAGGATCTGAATATTTATTGAATTGACAAGGACTATGTTAATTTTGCCAGTTATAAATTCTTGAGATAATTTTTTAACACTCCAAAACTATTTTTACTAAAATCGATGCAGAAGTGTCTGGATCCCCAAAGGGAAACAGGTTTTCTTATTCACAGTAATACATGAATAATTTACATATTTTCCTCCAGTTTGTGAATACATATTTTTATCTAGTTTGACAAAGTTTTCACATTTAGTAGCATTTTTATGTCATCCATTCACCTTTTTCTTGCAGAGCAGCTAGGTGTTTAACCTAAAGCAGTTGTCTGCTGACTTTCAAGATAATTATGGCTGATGATTAAAAGAATATTTAAGATCCCTGTCTGAAGAACACTGAAACTTTTTGAACCAAGTGTAAACAGAAATTAAGACCTTAAGGCTAGAGGCATTAACATGTATTGCAAAAAGATAACTGTACCGCTACTGGTTTTGCCTTATCTTTTTAAGATAAGCAATTAAAAGGTGTATTACTTTGCACTACAGACCCACAACAGATTCTTTATGGACATGTTATTCCCTGTTATATGGTTAGTGAACATACTGCTTTGCTAAAACTTCAGTTTAAAAAAAAAAAAAAAAAACACAAAGCAAAGACAGCTTTGACCTGTCTTTGGTGCTCCTTCAACCTCAACCACCACTCCACATAAGCAGAACCAGGTTTTGAGATGGTTTTCAGGCTGTGATCAACAAGATCTGGCTAGTGTTGCTGCACTGACTGCCGCCTCCAACTGTCTGCTCCAACTCTGCTGGAGGTTGACGCCTCCAGAGCACAGTCAGCAAAAGATAAACGATGCCAGAGTCTTAGTCACTTTGATGCAAAGTCCACCACCTCACCATAAACCACCACCTCTAGCAGAATACCTCTAACAGAAGAACTGCCTAACTTTGGTTTTACCAGCTGAGGTCTGGGCATGGGTTCCTTTCTACTCTACTGAAGAGAGAGGAGGGAAGAGAGACGTCTGGGGCAGGAACTTCTTAACTGCTGCAGAACATCTTTGACCACTCACAGCTTGCTTAGAGGTCTCCATGCTGTTCTTGTACTACTTCTGTGCGACAAATCTAGCTAAACCAAACACAAATAATTTAGTCACAGGCATGCTAGCAGTACACTTACACCTCTACAGTTATTCCCATACACTTTGAATGATAAATCAATGAATCACACTGGCACCAGACATCTTGGTACAACCATTCCCTCACTAGAGATGCTAACAATTTTACTAGTTTTGTTAAATAACAGACTCACAAGAACAGTTGGATGCATTTACTGTTAAGTCTAATAAACTGCTATGATGCTTTTTTAAATTATATTTTTATTTTTTGCATTCTAGTGAATTTGCTGGCAAACAACATTTTTACTTGAAAAGTATTCTGTAGGTAATAATGGAGGCTACTACAATGGCAGAAATTTCTCTTCTGTCTTCTCCGTAGAGGCCTCCGTGCAGGATCATGGCCTAAGACTAAACAGGATCAGAAAAGTACCATGCTGCTGTGGGAAGCCTTCATTAAGTCACAGCTCATTAACCACTAAAACATAAATATAAAATATTTAAAGACACATAGTTGGAGCGATCGGAGAAAAACATTTTTAGAGGGAATGACACCAGGCTTCAGAGTCTGAGTCTCATACATGGTTCAAACAGGTACAAGCTGAACAGGGATTCTGCCTTTAGCAGAACAGAAAAAAAGAAATCATTAGAAAAACAGACTGTAATGAGCTCATGTTGCACACAATAATCTGTCAAAAAGTGTTAATGTTATTGACAGCCCTGCCCTGCGCTGGGTGACCACTATGATTACAGTAAATTTCTCTTTGGAAGAGGTCAGTCCCCACTGACAGAACTGTATATGCCTGGGGCTTTGAACGCACCATAGAAGAAAGAAATGTCCTAATTTTGTTTCAGAATTCCTTAATCACGAGGCTTCTATTTCCCATCCCCCCTCCAAAGCGCGTGCACACAAGTTATAACGAGAAAACAAACAAAACCAAAGAACCGTCACTCACTCTGTTTTCCTCCTTTGCTTGTCCTCAAATATATCGTTCAGGCTGATCGCCACCTGGCCCAAAAACTTGTCCAGCCCCACCAGCGACCTGTGCATGACAATCAGGTACAGGATGTATCTGTCTGGGTTCTCCTGCATGAGTAATCCGGGCAGCTCGAAGGAGGCCTCCTCTTTCCATACCGGATCCAGGGTCTTCTCGGCTACCGAGGTGGAGTACTTCTCCTTGCCCAGCTGGATGATGGTGTACGCGTCGTTGGTGCCGCCTTTGCCTTTGGGCTTCAGCCCTTTGGCTTGAAGCACCGTGACTTGCACGTGAGTTGGGAACCACTTCTGGGCTTGCTCTGCCAGCATCATCTTCGAGGCAGCAACACCCGGGGGGCCGCGAGCCTCCGGCAGGGCACTTCCAGCACCGACACCTGTCAGCCTCAGGGCGCTCCCCAGACACTTCTCCCTACGCCTGGCACCCCCCGGCCCCCGCCAGCCCTACCGGCGGCTCCATCCGACCCTATTCGCGTCCCCTCGGCCCCCGGCTTCTCCCGGGGCCGCCCGGCGCTGCCCGGAGCCCGGCTCCCCGCCCGCCCGCTGCCGGCCGGCCCCGCCGCCCGCAGGGCATCCCCCGGCCCCGGGCCCGCCTCAGCCGCTCCCCCTTCGCCCGGGCCGGGCTCCCCGCAGGCCTCCCCCGGCCCCTTACGGTGTCAGTGCTGCCGGAGGGCGGCGGGCAGAGCCGCGGGGCCGGCCCCGCCGCCGCCTCCTCCTCAGCCTCTCGCCGCGCTCCCCCCGGCCTGACGGGCCTGGCGGGCCGGCTCCGCCGCTTCCGCCTTCCCCATGCTGCCGGCGGCGGCGGCGGTCAGAGGGCAGAGGGCAGGGTTCGCCCCCTCCCCGCCGCCACAGCCACAGCCACCGCCACAGCCGGGCGGTGCCTCCCCTTCGCCTTCCCCGCCGGGCTCTGAGGAGCTTTTCACCCGCAGCCGCCCGGGGAAGGCTTCTGACGGGGGGCTGAGGGGGAGCAGGGCTCGCAGGCCGGCCCCAGCCCGGCTTGTCCTGGTGCAAGCTGCCTGGGGAAACCCTGGAGCTTCTGCTGGTTTATTTTTTTTCCTTCCTACCCCACCCTGACAACCGTATTTAACTTAAATGAGGAAGCAAAGATAGCCGGCAGACGTTTTGAGGGCACAATTCTGTTAACACACCTGGAGTCAATGGGTGTTTGTGCAAATGCACCTGTAAGCAGAGTCACAGGCATTAACTTCACTTCTGCAAAACAAAACAGCAGCCCACACACACAATATCAGTTGCCAGGGTCTATATCCCACCCATGTAAACCACAGCAAGCAGAGAAATCAGCAGCCCAGTCAGATAATACTTCATCCACCACCCCTCACTCACGAGTCCCCAGCCCGTGGCCCACGGGTTAGCGAGCAACAAAAGCTTGGGAGACCTTCTCCTGCTGCGCTGAGCTACAGGAAATTAAAAAGTTAAAGTTGAAGGCCATTAGGGAGAGTAAAGTATGATGCTGCCCACAACACGTAACGCTGAGCGAGTTATTGTCCAGGGTCAGAAAAGGTTGGGGATCGCTGGTCTGCACACAGTCATTAGTTTCCCTTTACAAGCTGAGCCTAGGCTCATGTTATCTCTAACAGTTTAAATAACTACTTGGATGACCCTTAAGTTTTGACTGTGAACTGGATATTTGTCTGCACGCTCTGATAATTAATGCGGTGCTGGCATGTCGTTCCTCTTCCTCACTGTATCTGCTTTCTGTTCATGTTGGAAGATAGTCCAGTTGGAAATGATAACTCCAGAACATTTCTTGGGATCATACTTAGACAAAAGCATGTAACTGAGTTATCAAGGGTAGCAGTTTCTTGAAGAGTATGAACGCCATCACTGCAAATATCCCCCACTGCCTCCTCCTTTACCCCTGCTGTTATTGCTGAGCGCGATGCTGTAAGGTGTGGGACATCCCTTTGGCCAGCTGTCCTGGCTGTGTCCCCACACAGCTTCTGGTGCACCCCCAGCCCAAGACGGGCCGAGCAAAAAGTCCTTGCGTCTGTGTAAGCACTGCTTTGCAACAACTAAACATCAGTGTGTTATCACCACTGTTTTCATCAAAAATCCAAAACACAACTTCATTTGAGCCTCTACAAAGAAAATCAACTATCCCAGAAAAAAAAAAAAAAAAAAAAAAGACAAAATCCACCCCTTATTCCACACTTCTTAAGCCATGCTCAGGTCCCACACTTTCCTATACATCTTCATTAATCACCACTCTTCAATTAACACACCAATATCATTCCCTTAGTCTGTAGACCACCCCTGTGATGTCCATAAAACGTCCACGGGTTTTTTTTTAGTCCATGATTTAGCTTCTCTGGTATGGTGGTTGCTCAAGACAGGAGAAGCAGTATGTTGTGTGAAGTTACTGGACACCAAAGCCAGCTCAGGTCAGGTCACTTGCTCCGCTGCTTGTGAGGCTAATCCTACTACATTTCAAGTGGCTCCTGCTATAGTACTTCCCATAATATGCAACTCAGAGTTACGGTAATTTAAAGATTTATCCATCAAAATCTCCACCCTTGGTCCCTTTGGACCAGACTACAGGGTTTAAGATTGCAAAGAATTCCTCCCCTCACCCATGCTCCAGCATGGACTTATGCATTGGCCACAGTTCTTCAAGAGGTACCTGCTCCAGCACGGCCTTTTCCATGAACCATAGTCCATTCAGAGATCTACCAGCTTTGTAAGCACTGCTCAGCAACAACTAAAATATCAGTGTGTTATTAACATTATTTTTCTCCTAAATTAATAAAAACAATCAAACAAACAACAACAACAAAAAAACACATACCAGCCACTATGAAGAAAATCAATTCTATCCATCTGAAACCATGACAATGAGATACCATTGATCAAATTAAGGCTGCACATCAACTCTTTGGGATAAATCACCTTCACCCCTCATCTGGAAATTGCTTGCCCTCCTCTCCAGCTGCCAGTGTCCCCTAAGATCCTTTGGTTTCTTTCCCAAATGTGTCACAATAAGTTTTTAACAAAGTTCCCAGGCTGAATTGCTGTGCTTGTGGATGGTGTAGCAATATTTAAGACAAATGGCTGGAAGAGTGAGGAAGGATAATGATAAAAGTGTTCTGCAGGAGGCTGAGGCAATGGGGATAAAACACTGGGGAACCAGTAAGACACATTTAAATCACATTATTTCTTAAATGAATTTTACCACATACAACTTCTGTTTTAATGCAGTATTCTTCATTGCATCAAATCTAAACCAAGCATGATGCAATTGTCAAATCAAAACAAGAAATTAATTTTAGGTAGGCAGAATGTATTTATTTAATCAGAAATTTAAGTCAGAAATCATGTTTTGCATGCTGTGTCGTAGAAAAAGTTTTATGAGCTCTTACAGCAGGCAGGATTTGTGCTTTTTCCTTGAATTTTATTGGTATTCTATTTTTTCATCTCATCAGATCTTTCTCAGTTGGGGCTAGCTTGAATACATATGCTTGCAGCTGAACAGAGGAAGAGGAAGGTGAAGGAACTTTTGTAACTCGGCCTAAAATACACCAACACAACACACAGTCTGCTGTTCTTGATTTAAAAGTCAGTGACAGATTATTAGTCCTCTTCTCCTTGTCCGCAACCTGGCATGTGAGAACAACAGAGGGGAGCCTTTCTTCCTGTCATTTCTCTCCCTCTCTCTGTTCATCTGGCGGAGCAGGCAGTGGGGACCTCTCAGCTCCCCCACTCCCGTGAATTAGAGTGAATTTTGTTCAAAGGTGCACCAGATATAATTTATTCCCTCTTATAGCCCTCCAGGGTCAAGTTGCAATCCAGCCTTTTGATTCCATCCTCTTTGGAATAAGGACATTGTCTTCTTGAATGTAACGTGCAATATAAATGACAAAACATCTCAGTTAAATAATGATATCTCCAGCAACACAGCATCCCCTGACACTATGTTAGAGCATTAATCCAGAAACGACTCAGATTCCCATTTACTAAACCACCGCCACCACTCAGTGGCTGCATGCACTGTAGGTTTTGCTCATCACCATCCATGATTCACCGAGTATCACACTAGAAAAATCCATTTTGTTTTCTATGCACTGCTTTGGTGACGAGACTGTACTGTTCCTTCACTTTTGCTTTTCCTCCATGTTGAGACCAAGCATTGTGGGTGCAGGACAAACAGTGCAGGAATATCCGTGGTCATTAAGATTAAATATGTTGCCTTAGCAGTACAGTGGGAATGCTAATGAGGATGACTAATCTTTGAGAAACCCTTTTTTCTGCCTGAATTTGAAGCGGGCACTAACCAAACAACAGTTCATGTGGGGAAAGATACCATGATGCTGAGGGGTGATGGATAAATTCTCTTGTCACTGTCTTTTTGCTGATTAGAATAAGCAGACAAAAATAGATACAGGAGAAGGAAAGTCCTGGGACTCTGGAAGAGATAATTAACACTCAAATGCCTCTTGGGTAAAGAGAGGCGTTTTCCTTAGACTGTGTTTTTGGCAAGATCTGCAATTCGTGCTTGCTCGTGAAAAGAGCTCATCTTTTTATGTGTCAAGGTCATCACGTTCCTTCCTCTAGTTAGCTCATGTCACTAAAATGCATCTTAGTCATAAAAAGCTGTTCATTTTAAGTGGTTTATTTAGGAAGGAATTACAAAGTGGACTGAACATGAGGGAAGGGGCGTTACCTCAAAAAGAGGAGGTGCAGGAGCAGTCACAACAGGACAAGTAGTGCAGATCAGAACCATAGAAGCCTTTCTGAGACCATCAGTTCTAGATTTGATGGCTTTTTTTTCCAACAGCAAGAGTTCTGGCCTTGCTTTTCTCAGCCATCTTCCTTCAGCCCTCCACTGGGAAGAGGGAGTTAGGGGAGAAGAACAAGGCAGAGAACGATGCAAGAGCTACCAGGCTTCCTCAAAGCAAAATCATTTTTAACACAATGTAGCTCTCAAGGGAGATATTTTTGAATGCAAGCTCTAAGCGTAACATTTTAAGCTCAAAAATCTTTAAAAAAGAACTGGAAGAAAAGACGTGATTGAATATCCTCAGAATAAGTGGACTTGGACAGAAAACAAGGTACAATGATGAGAGAGTTTAAAAAGCGATTATCACAGAACAACAGTGGATATCTACAGTGTATTTAACATGGAACCTTAATCCTCATGTGTGCCATCTATCTCTATTACACATTCTTCCAGGCATTTCTGGCCCAAAAGATCAGCTTTTTAATTTTTTGTGTTTTCATTTTTTAAAAAAGAGTATTCCAAGAATTACAGTGGATTTTTGTCAGTTTCAGTAATTTGAAATTCCCTCTCCACTCTCATTACTGAGCCAATGGTACATCTGATTAAACATCAGGCTTGATATTCTGGCTGCCCTTGCACAAGAAAAGGCAAGAAAATCTTTTAGCCTACTCTGCTCTGAGGCTGTTCGATGCTCTGCTTTTCATTTCCAGCTGCATACTTGCTAAAGAGGATCAGAGCAGTTTACAGTGGTAAACTGGAGCAGATAATCTGGTGATTTAATTTCTCCCTGACTTCTATTTATGAAGTAGGAAGCTTTTTGCCTTTTTTTTTTTTAAATGCTATCTCTTCTTTGAAATTATTTTCTGAATGATTCTTTGTTGGCAGATCTCGGGTGAGGTGTTTGTTTTGAACATTATGCAGTTGTGAGGCACAGGCTAGTTTTGTCTAGACATGCAGCAAGCTCCTGCTTTCAGCCTAGACAACTAACTTTCAGTAGCTGTTGCAACTGTCCAGATTACACATTTACTGGAGAGACTATGCAAATTTTTGAGACTGAACACAGTTGTTTGTTAACTTTATCTTAGCTTTTGTTATTGTTTCAATTACTGACTTCTTCAGGAATTCAGCAGAATTAATTGATTGCAGAAATCAGATTGCTGGGCTCAAACACACCACAGTGAATTGGAAAGTTTTTCTCATGCTACTGTTCCTGTCTGCTCTCTTGGTTTGAGAAAAACAATAAGTCGTTAAGCTGAATGTATTTTGATGGAAATATTGAAAGCTAGGTGAACACATGCATCGCGTTTCTGGTCTGAACACAAATGTTGCATCCCCAAATATGAGGATTCCTGGTTTTCTGAGGCTGAATGAGGTAGGCAATGTCCCGCTTGGCACAGTCCCTTTTACTTTTCACCTTCATTCTTATGGCCGGTTTCCTCTGGATCTCATCCTTCAGCTCCCATTGGCCTCAACAGGAGGGCTGAATCTTCCTATAGCTCTCAACAGCCATACACACGCTTTCTTGCTGGTTTTAAGCTCTCAGGTACTGCCACTGTCATTGCTTCTGTGCCTTTCTCCTCTGTCTCTAGGGTTTTTCCTCCTCTTTGCTTAGGATGTAGCTTCGGTCTTCCCTACCTCATTCTTCACTGGTACACGAAGGATCGCATGACAGATAGCAAAGTAAAAGTGTGCATAAAGAAGGGGGTGAAGGATTGAAATCAGGCAAATGCACATTGGATTTTCCATTGTTTTAATTGAAATCTGGTAATCTGGTATAAAACTATTCAAACAGAAATCTGGAGTCACAGTTACACTAGAATAAGTAGAATATTGGACTTGAAATAAACACTAGGTAATACTACAAATGTTGGAACCATCATCTTTTTTGTTCATTTTTCATTGAACTTCTTTCACAGCCTTATTAATAGCCTTCCAACGGTGAGGGTGACAGGGCATTGGAACAGGTTGCCTAGGGTGGTTGAGGAGTCTCCTTCTCTGGACATATTCAAGGCCTGTCTGGATGCCAACCTGGGCAGCCTGCTCTGAGGAAGGGACCAGGACCGGGGACCAGCTGAGAATCCATGTAAGTAACGTCACTGAAAACAGACAAGGTGAAGGAAGTCCTCAAGCTCCCCAACACAAAACAACTGTAGAACCCAGGAACACTTACCTGCCATCTTCTGAACTTGAGTCACTGCCAAACTACTTCACAGGGAAGTAGCACCACCAGGGTTTTCCTGTTCTGAAAACTGAAAAGTCACCACCAATGTAACTAGCTCATAGAGTCTCAAAAACTATTTCACAGAGATAGTAGAGAACCTGAAGAAAAAGCAGCCTACTGGGGAACACTGAGTCCATTTCACCAGGACAGTAGAAAAGCACCCTAAGTAACCTGAACCTCAAACTCTCCTGGAGTGGCAATTCTTCCCATAACTCCTCATGCTTCCTATATAGCAAAGGTCAAATGATCCCCCCACCTGGCAGATTTCACCTCACAAGGGTGGAGCCAAGAGACCTCGTGGAATAGGCTCATCAACCTGGCTTCAATGTTTTAGGTTCAATTGCTCCTTATCGCTAATAGAAATAACCTGACAAGGGGCTTAGTGGTTAGAGTTGACCTAATGAATTAATTACAAAAGGCACATAAGGGTCATATTTCTGCTAGTCATTCTGTGAGGAAAATTAGTACAGAGCCTGTTAAAATAAGATAAATAAACATAAATAAAAGAAATAAATAAAAGAAAAAAGAAAAGTACCTAAAAGGCAAAATTGCTGTCATAGATTTTCATCTGTCTAGTCATGACAGATAAAGAATATAGCAATCAGAAAGACTTTTTTTTGACATTAATGTTGTTTAAATTTGCTTTTCTGAGATCTCTTCTTTCTGCAGGACTTTTCAAAATCTAGCACCATGACCTCTGACTGCAGTATTTACTTTGGCTGCATATAAGCTACCACATATAAATGCCGGGATCCAGATCCTCACTCCCTATTCAGGTCAAGGACTGGGCTGAAAGTTTTGGCTTTAATTTGGTTACATGACTACATTGCTGTTGTGGTTTCCCCCGGCCGGCAGCTAAGCAACACACAGCCGTTCGTTCGCCCTCCCCTCTCCTTCTATGGGATGGGGGAGAGAAATAGGAAAATGAAGCCTGTGGGTCGAGACAGAGACAGTTTAATAAGTGATGCACAATGCAATTGCTCACCACCCGCTTACGCATGCCCAGCCTATCCCCGAGCAGACAGCCCCCCCATCCCAGCTAGGCACCCCTATCTATTGTTTAGCATGACACCAGAGGGTATGGAATATCATATCCCTTTGGCCAGTTTGGGTCAGCTGTCCTGGGTCTGTCCCCTCCCAGCTCCTGCTGCACCCCCAGCCTGCCCACTGGCAGGAAAGAGTGAGAAGCTGAAACGTCCTTGGCTTGGTGTAAGCACTGCTCTGCAACTATTAAAACATCAGTGTGTTCATCCTAATCCACAAGGTAGCACCCTACCAGCTCCTAGGAGGAAAATTAACTCTATCCTAGCTGAAACCAGGACAGCTGTTTTCTGGCAGGTCATGGGAAGAAGATTGGCTGGCTTGGGAGAGCTTCTGTACACGTGGCTTTTGGCTGCAGCCAAACTGTTCCTCTAGATCTGGAAGTCTGAAGATGGCTGAGTGGTTGGAAAGCTCCCTGGCAGAGAAGGACCTGGGAGTGATGGTGGTGGATAGTCGGCTGAATATGAGCCAGCGGTGTACTCAGGTGGCCAAGAAGGCCAACGGCATCCTGGCTTGTATAAGAAACAGTATGGCCAGCAAGACTAGGGAAGTGATCGTCCCCCTGTACTCGGCTCTGGTGAGGCCGCACCTTGAGTAGTGTGTTTTAGTAGTGTGTAGTAGTAGTTTTGGGCCCCTCGCTACAAGAAGGACATGGAGGTGCTCGAGCGAGTCCAGAGAAGGGCGACGAAGCTGGTGGGGAGTCTAGAGAACAAGTCCTACAAGGAGCAGCTGAGGGAGCTGGGCTTGTTCAGCCTGGAGAAAAGGAGGCTCAGGGGCAACCTTATCACTCTCTACAGGTACCTTAAAGGAGGCTGTAGCGAGGCGGGGTTTTGGTCTGTTCTCCCACGTGCCTGGTGACAGGATGAGGAGAAATGGGCTAAAGTTGCGCCAGGGCAGTTTTAGGTTGGATGTCAGGAAGAACTTCTTTCCCAAAAGGGTTGTGAGGCACTGGGATGGGCTGCCCAGGGAAGTGGTTGAGTCACCATCCCTGGAGGGCTTTAAAAAACGTTTAGATGTTGAGCTTAGCGATATGGTTTAGCGGAGGACTTGTTAATGTTAGGTCAGAGGTTGGACTCGATGATCTGGAGGTCTCTTCCAACCTAGACAATTCTGTGATTCTGTAAAAATTATTGACATTTTTCCTCACAGGCACGGCAGGAATGAACGTCCGGCAGCGCCGGGCACCTCCCCTCCCGCACAGCCTCGTCCCCATCCAGAAATGTCTCCTCCGAAGCACTGCGCCGTCGTGGCACACGAGGAGCACAGCATGCACAGGCTCCATCACCCAAATTTCTCTCCGCAGACGGTGCTGGGGGCTCCCACAGGCCGTGCAAGGGGAGCCCGAGGAGCTCCAGCACTCGGGCAATGCCAGGGGTTGTGTGGGGACTGAGGGCAGGGCTGGGGGGCTGTGGCAGGGCGGGGCCGCGGGTGACAGCACAGAGGACATGTCACAATGGGGGGACTGCTTTTAAGGCAGCCACAGGCAGCGCTGCTTCACTTTGTCCTGAGCCATTGGCGAGGTGAGTGAAGCAGCGGGGGGAAGGCTGGGCCGGGCCAGGGCCGGGGCACAAACACCAGCCCCCCGAGGGCTGCTGAGCCTGCAGCGAGGGCCCAGCCATTCTGGGCAGGGCTCGTGGCTGTCACCGCCAGCCCTGGGGGTCTGCGGCTCCTGCCCCGGCTCCCTCGGCCGCCAGCCAGCTCCCACCCAGCCCCACTGACCCCCTTCTCTCTCAACTCTTGCAGACCATGGTTTCAGAACTCTTCTTTGCGTTGACTTTCCTGGGCCTAATTCAGAGCCCAGCGAATGTTGGCGATGAACTGGATGCGCCTACAACCGCGCGCATGCAGCAGCGCGCAGAGGAGCTGCAGGCTCGCATGACGCAGCTGCTGCTGGAAATCGAGCAGATTGAGCAGGAGCACGGCGGGGCGCGTGTGGGAACCCTGCTCCTGTCGCTGCTGCAGCAGTGGCAGTTCTGGGTTGTGACCGGAGAGATCGTCCTGTTCTTTGTGCTCTGCCGCATGCTCATGAAATTCTGCCGTGAGCAGCGCAGTGCAACCAGGAAAGGCATCTCTGGAAGAAAGGACGATGACGACTCCGAGGAAAACCCCAATGACATTCTGGGTGCCCGGAACGCCTCCAATGAAAGCCTCTCCGTCGAGATCAAGCTCGGGGTCAAGCAGGGTGACTCGGACACCTTTCTGACCTTCGAGTAGTCAGAGGCCGGCGTTCCCAGCAGCACGAGGTGGCCCCAGAGCTGCGCTGTGCCAGAGATGCTCTTCTTCAGGAAACACCTCGGCATGCTCGGCACACCTTCCACCTCCAACATCTGCAGCTCTGTGTCTGTATGCTGCTAGGCACCAACTTTGCCACCCGTGCCTCGACGACCGCTGTCACCCACCTCCTGACCTGACCACCATCCCCGTGGCAAGCCACGCACAGGAGGGATTTCACCAGCGATGATTTCGGTGGCTGCAAAGCTGAAGGAGTGACACCCTGCTTGCCACATGCCCCATGCCCCAGAGCTGAGCACGCTGCCCATGGAGACGATGCTGCTCAGCTGGGAATTGCTCCTCCATGGCATCTCCGCAGCAAAACCACCCCTGGGGGAGGCACACCCCGTGCAGCTGAAGACACCGCTGCAGGGAAGCTTGAAGTAGAGACTGCTCTTTCCACACGGACAGTGACCATCTGGGCTCCTGGGGAGTGTCCACTCACTCCAGGAGCTCTGAGCTCTGCAATATATAATTGCAATATATATTGCAATTTTTATTATATTGTTCATATATTGTTTATTATTTATTGTAATATATGTTGTTTATTTGAACAAAGACTTTGTCTGTGAGTGTCTGTACCACACCGGGTCAGGAAATGCCACAGCCCCGGGGAGCATTTAGCTGAGGAGCTGATTCCGTGGGCTCCAATTGCACTCCTGGAGCTACAGCTCTGCTGCCTGTCCTGGCTCCTCCAGCAGGGCAAGGAGAACAGCTCAGCAGCCTCCTCAGTGCCGCATGTTGCCGGTGTGCTGCATGGAGTCTGAAGGGGGGACTTGTGGAACACGAGGCGAACCATGCCCTGGGAGCCCGACAGCTCCCATCACAGTCCAAACGCTTCTTAAACTCCTGTCCCAGTGTGTGACCACCCTCTTGGTGAAGAACCTCTTCCTGATGTCCAGCCCGAACCTCCCCTGCCTCAGCTTGACCCCATTCCCTTGGGTCCTGTCACTGGTCACTAAAGAGAAGAGATCTCACTAAAGAGAGAGGGTTCAGTACTGGGGCCGGTTCTCTTTAATATCTTTATCGATGATCTGGGTGAGGGGATCGAGTGCACCCTCAGTAAGTCTGCAGATGACACCAAGTTAGGTGCGTGTGTCGATCTGCTCGAGGGTAGGAAGGCTCTGCAGGAGGATCTGGGTAGACTGGAGCAATGGGCTGAGGCCAACTGTATGAAGTTCAACAAGGCCAAGTGCCAGGTCCTGCACCTGGGGCGCAATAACCCCAAGCAGAGCTACAGGCTGGGAGATGAGTGGTTGGAAAGCTGCCTGGCAGAGAAGGACCTGGGAGTGATGGTGGTGGATAGTCGGCTGAATATGAGCCAGCGGTGTGCTCAGGTGGCCAAGAAGGCCAACGGCATCCTGGCTTGTATCAGAAGCAGTGTGACCAGCAGGGCGAGGGAAGTGATCGTCCCCCTGTACTCGGCTCTGGTGAGGCTGCACCTCGAGTACTGTATTCAGTTTTGGGCCCCTCGCTACAAGAAGGACATGGAGGTACTCAAGCAAGTGCAGCGACATTGTGGTATAGAGGTATAATTTCAGTTCACACTAGAAGACATTCTTCTCACTACAGTTAAGACCCACAAAGTGCCAAAAAAAAATAAAAATAAAAAAATCACACACACATACACACCAAAAAAAAAAAAAGTAATGTATTTTCAAATTAGTTTTACATGTTGGCATTATTTACTTGTCTGATCTTGCATTCAGGGCTTGATTTATGTGGAGGGGAACATGTAATGCCATGCAAGGTTGTTTGGTTGTATGACTGAGAACAGAACTTTTGAACAGAACAGTTTTTGAACAGTTTGAACTGTTTGTATAGAAGTAAAATACAGAAGAGTACACTATTCCCAAGGGAAACGTAGAAAACTGCCTGTTGCTTCTTAGTTTTAGTTTTCCCTTAAAAGGTGTAAGCATCTGTTAAAGAGTATGAAAAGGTGTAATCAGCTGTTTGAGTACAATTCTTACATATACATGAACATTTTCTTCTACAGTTTCCAACTTGGAGTGCAACACTTTTCATCATACTCTTAGATCAGGACTCTGATTCTAACCATGGTTCCTAGTGCAGGGAACTTTTCCAGACAAGAGAGAAGCAAACCAGTCCTCCCTGCATTGAATGAGATGGAGATAGCAAACAAATGTAAAAGAAGAAAATAAACCTGTGGGAATGTTTTCCAAGAATTGTCATAGTCCAAAAGCTTTTAATTGGTTCAATCCCTGAAAGTTAATTAGTGTAAACTCAGTTTGCATCACTGAACTTGAAGCAGTAGGATAGACTTGCACCATTGCAGAGCCTCAGTCACGGATTAAATTGCCATTGCCTCTAACTCTATGCAAGAACGAAAGAGAAAAGCACACCTTTTGACTTTGTCAGCTAATGGCAGACCTAGAGAGAAAAAAAAAAAAAAAAGTTGTTATTTAAAAAGTAACGTTGTTTTAAGGCATTTCACCACATCTGTAATATTTGGTAGTAAGCAGACAACAAATGAAAGGGAAGAGGAAACAGTGGAAGGTACTTGCATGGCCTTAATTCATGTGGCAATTGACAACAAGAACAACTTGCAATGATTTCAAAGTGCCTTCCACCATTCAACCTTGGGACTCTCAGGACCAGGACAGACTCTGGGGACCAGATATTCTCCCCCTCTCCCTGCCACACATAACTCTCCTACCTCTCAACATATTTGTGCATGATGTGCTTTAGGATTTATTTAACCTTTGACAAAACCTGAAGTGCATTCTGGAGACATACCAAGAAGAACGTGCTCGTCTGAACATCCCAAGGATAGTCGAAGCTTTGGAAGGCTACCAATGTTTACGGCTTTAGCTTAAGCCATAGGCAGGCAAATCATTCTTTTTTTTTTTTTTTCCCCCCCTTCTTCTTCTTCTTCTTCTTCCCTGTCAAAGCATCCCTATTGTGCAAACTCCTCATGCACTTCTAACATAAAATACCTACAGGATACCTCAGGCACACCAAAAGGCCATGGCCTTGTCCAAGACCTGCGAGGATTCACATTGCCTTCAGGCAGACCTCCACATGGGATGGCACCAGGCACGTGCAGTCCCTGAGAGTTCGATTCAGATTTGATTTCCCTTTGGTTCTCCTAAAATGTGATAGAAACCTCCACGTGAACTCTTAGGGAAGCACCCATTCAAAAGAGACAGAAACACAAACTGAGGGTCAATCTAAAGAATTGCATTAGAAATAGAAATTGCCTATATGATATCTATTTTCAGACCTAAATATGCACATTCTTTTCTTGTTTGCAGTACATATCTAATGCTTTTGGGTTGCAAACAACTTCTATGCATTGGAACTTGACATAAAAATAACATAAGGAGAGTCACAGATAATTTTGCCATCTCTACAGAGAATATATATATATTTTTTGCACTTGACAGAAACTAAGAAGTGTTAGCAATATAAATAAATGACTTAAAAATTATGACCTTTCCTTTTGAACTAGAAGAAGGAAAAAAAAAAAAAGAAAAAAGAAAATGAATAGATTTTTACTGTTGTCTGAGTATGAGGTTTGTTTAGAAGTATTTTTTCTGGGTTTAAATATATTATGCTTTTATTCTCTCTTTATAGGTCTCCAAGGATCTCAGAGACCATAACCTCAGAAATTATCCCAAAGTTATCAACTGTCAAGGAAAACCTCAGCAAATACCATAAAATTATGTCCCCAAAAAAGTTTTTAACAACTGGAGTTCTGACCTTCTCAACTTCTTTTCCCTTGTTTACAAGGCCTAAACGTTCAACATTAATAGGCTGCCACTTGAGACTGGGTAAAAGTAACTTATTTGCAGATACATTAAACTCCACTATTGCTTTGTGTACTAAGCTTGTAGTTACAGCAAGATGGTGAAGTATCTACCCACCTTAAAGCAGAAACCATATACTGCTTAAAAGAATAAAAAGAACCTTCCTTCTTAAAGGTTGGTCTTCTTAACAAAAACACGTTTAAACTTCCTCCTCATTCCCAAGACTCTTTCCCAGACTTAGTTGCCCCCCAAAGCTTCTTCCCAGAAATTTTCTCCTACCAAAGGCCTATCCCATGTCTCTTCTGTTGTTGAAGGGTCTAATGGGATCCACCTGCACCACTGAGTCAACTGTGATTAATCTGCAGTTAACTGCAGGGTCTCAACACCTCCAATGTGTTGGTAACAGGATAATCCTTATTCCCTGATGATACTAGGGGAGAAAATAGTGGTAATAATAATCAAAGAAAAGTAAAATAAAATAACATAGCATAAAATATTTTAGGAAGGAAGGGAATTTTATATATTTGCTAGACTTTGACTTAACATGTATCCTTTTCAAGCCTTGATAAACCAAGATGTGTATTTTCTAACTCTTCATCCCATGTCGCAGAGCTAGTATAAATCTCAGAATGATATTTGTCATTTTGGGAGAGTTTTTTTCTCTTGCTGTGTTGATGAATAGTTCAGATTTTCTATCATCATTGCCTTCTAGCAATATAAATTTCAATTTGGCTTCAGCAAGATCTTAATATAAGTATGTGATTAGAGAAGGAGTCTGAATTAAATTGCTGTAGTTAAGTTTTATGTGCATTAAATGTATGTACTCCAAGCACTCTTCTCCAGTGTTGCTTACAACCCTCTTTTCTTTGAAGCATGGTTTATTCTTAGAAAACTCAAGCTGCTCCTAAAATTCTGCTCCCAGTAAGAGACAAATTAGATAAAAGCAACTTATTGAGAGAAGAGAGCTTACAGAACTCATGCAAATAGACATAGAGTGCCGCTTGACAGCCTTCTATGCTATTTTTTTTTGTTAAGAATTATCCAATACCCAGACATATAACAGATAAAATTTCACTTTTCCAAGATATCTGTACTGCATCTTCCCAACACCAAAAGTTGGAAGGATTGTGAGGGCTATGGGAATACTGCAAATTTATTTTGGCACTGCCTAGTGCTTCAAACATCCTGGAAATCAGCACTGGATATGTTCTCATAGTCTAGATGTAAATTAGCCATATGTGCATTAGTGGCGTTATTTACAGATTGAATTGTGCAACTATACTTAGGGCCTTAGATAAATTATTTGTATATTGGGTCCAATTTTTGCTGTCATTTACAGTAATATAAATCTAGGATCACTCCACTGAAGTCAGTGGGGTAATTATTTTGAACTTTCTCCAGTATGACTGAGAGCAGAATTTAGCTTCTGATTAGCATTTGCAGCTCTGAAGCCTTTTTCCCTACACTAGAAGTCTACTGAGAAGTCTACTCTGTCAGTTGTGTTCACTATTGCTTTAGAAATGTGCTCAGAGACTTTATCTCAGTCTGAAAGCAGAGCCATGCCGTCAGATTTAGTTCTTCTTGGAGTAAATAAAAATGAAAATTGTTACTCTGTTTTACAATCTTTTGTTGGATATATACCTTTGTCTTCTTTGTTTCTAATACAGGAATTTCCATGAAAGTTTGTCATTGGAGCTATAACTGGTTGAGCCTCACTAATGAAGTCATCATTAACAGCGTTAGAATACAGGGGCTACCCTCTGAGCTTCTTCACCCACCACTTTGAATGGACCTCATGTTAGCAAGTGATATACTTCCTTACTTTGACCTTTGTCTTAAGCTTTTCAATGTATCTTCATGGCTTAAGCCAGTGGTGCTCCCTTTTTCCCATTTATATTTGACAGCATCTTCTATCTACCTGTGAAAATGTGGTGAATACAAGTAAAACTCCATCTGCTAGAAAAATAGGAAATCAAAGATGAAGCACATTAGTCTCAATAGAAAAATAGGAACCATGCTAACACATCAGCAACTGTTCCCTAGAAACACTCTCACTGATGTTGGAGTAAATAGGATTGTCCGTATAAGAACACAGATGTCTCATCATCCAGCAACACATGATGTTAAGACATACCAATGTTGGATGCAACTTTTTAACTGTGGTTCAAAGCTCATGTAAGAGAAACACACTGGGATACTGGTTATATCTTTTTCAACTCAGTATTTCTAATGAGAAGAAGATGTCTGTATTTTATGTAGGTCATAATCATTTGAAAAAATGCATTAGCAGGCACAGGTCTTGTAAGTGATTTTAAATCATCTCCATATTTTGTTTTTCTTCAGCTTCTCCTTTGTTTCTTTGCTTCTGCTCAAACTCATTTTTTCTCTAACCCATATTACTACAACAGCATGTTTACCTTCATTTGCAGTGCTAGAAAAGGCTGTATAATTAGACGCTTCATTTTGGCCATCAGATGTTCCAGCTGACTCATTTATCTCATCTGGATTTTGTACAGTGTCCTGCCACTACCTGGGTCCTTACATTCTATTTTATAAGCCTCAAAATGCTTTCAAAAATAATTTCACTTTTGAATTTTTGAATATGGTTTGGATAAGGTTTGAGGAGAACAGGAACAGAATGATTACTGTTTACTTATTCTGTGTAAGTGTGTAACATCTCATCATAGATGAATCCTTAAAGAAGGATCCTCACAGATTAAATGTTCTAAAAGCAAAATGTCAGGTGATAAACTTTAAGTAATGCATGTACTCTTCATGTTGGACAGTCTATCACTTTGCAGAGTGTACTTAAGAGCTGAGGATGCCTACTGGGTCCGTTCCCCTCTGAGGGCAGTCCAGGCATGGAGGGCATCAGGAGGGAAAGTTCTTAGTGCTGTGGGCCAAGTTAGGCGCTGGTGACAGAGCTTCCCAGAGTGTTGGCCTCGCTTGAAGAGGGGACCATTTGGGATGTAGGTTTCAGTGTGGTTCATATACTGGCTTTGATTTTGCCAGTGAATTCAACCAGGTAAAACTGGACTGACTGCCACACATCCTTGGTCATGGGGATCACCATGATTAACAAACCTTTCCTGGCCACAGTGCCTCACCTGGAAATCCTGCGCCCAGCCCAGTTCATAGATCAAGCAAATGTTTCTTCTCACATCAACGTTATCCAGCCTTGACCTAAAAGCTTCTGGGATGAGGAACTCATTATTAAATTTTCCTGATGAATAGTTAACCTCACTGCTAATTGTATCTTCTTTATCCATAACCTGAATTTGACTATGTTCAGCTACTAGGCCTTGATGCACTTTTATATGGAAAGTTTCAGAGCCATTACAAATCTTCTCCACATGTAGATAGATATTAATATGTCATAATCAAGTCTCTTAACCTTTCTTTTGATAAAGTAAACAGATTAGGCTGCATACATCGATCCCTACAAGGCAGATACTCAAGATCTTGAAATCATTCTTTTCTGATCTATTTTCAATTTTCCATGCCTTCTTTGAAGTGTGAACACCAAGACTAGTCATGATATTCCAGTAGTTTTCCCACCAGCTCACACACAGCTGTACTTCTTGTGCCAGAATCCCCAGCCCAGTAATTCGGCTGCTAGCTTAGGTTTAGGAAATTCAATCTGGGGCATTAAAACACTTGCTATATATTTTCTCTTCATAATTGGAAAGCAGTGAGAGATCAAGCAAAGGATCAAATTAGGGGAAAAAAAAGTTTCCAATTCTCAAGCTAATTGTCCTGAAAAGTTTGGAGAAGTTTGCTAGAGAGATACTCTCCCATAGAGCAATCGAGTGCTGAATGTAAGTCTGTTTATGCTTTGGACACATCTGTATGGCAGCAGCATAAAGAGTGTGGCATGCTGTTTAATATCTGTCAGGCTTCTTTTTTAAACCACTTAATAAGCATGTATGTAAATTCTACGCAATAAAAAAGTTCTAACAACCAGAACAAGAATAACCTTTTATGTGGTGGCTCCCACCCTTAATCCCAGCTTCTACATGCCAGTTCCTCCCCCCGCTTTCACATCCCCATCCCTTGACAGGTGCCAGAAGGTTTCAGAATTTCCTTGTGGCTTCACCATGGGAACTGCCATTTCACCAGGAACGAATTTGACCCGCTGAGCAATAAAGCTGAGGCAAAACATTTATGCTCTACCCAGAATTGCTTGTTTTTCTGTTGGCACTCTCCTCCAGCATTTTTTTAACCAATAAGACCTACATGTTCACTCAACCTCCCTCTCAATTCACCTTGAGAAAGGAGCAGAACTTTGAAAGTGTCGTTTTCCCAGCAACAGCTGCTGTTTTTAGCATCCAACAGTCCTTAAATCCATAGAAGGCTAGTTTATACGGACAGGGAAGCATTAAATGCTAGGAAATGAGGGTCTTTAGGTAACTATTCCAGATCTGCTATATCTGCAGTTACAGCAATTGGTGGTGTAGGTGGTGTTCTTTTACTGGCTTTTAATGAGACACATTTATTACTGCCTTGCGATAAACCAAAGTAAAGCCATAAAAGTGACTTTCATTGAACATTTGTTTGAGTTCTGCCTGGGTCTTATAAAGCTCCATTTGTTCAAGACTTCAGTTTTTGTTTTACATGCCTGCCACCTTTTTTGTAACAGCTGTTATCTCCTTCAATAGCTGCATAAAATAAGCTTACCTGCTGTGATACAACAAAAACTTGTTTCATGACTTGTGTGAGACATAGTCTGTGTCCTTGCTCGTGGTGGTAGATCCTTCATAATCTAGTAAATCACTTGAGAAACCCACCTACTCCCTATGAACGCATAGAATGCGGGATTGAAACCACTTATATTTATTGCAATTTCACAATAGCTGAGAAAGGATCTGTGCAGGTTGATAACAACTGAAATTTTAGAAATAACAGCAGCTAATCCATCAGTCTTCGTCCCAGGGAGTGAAGTCTCAATGGCTTCTGAGGGATCTGAGACAGACCAGAACCTTCAGCTGAGCCGTCATGCTTTTCTAGGTCCAGCAGGGAATCCAAACTATTTAAGGCTTGTACATTTTCTTAATCTACAAGACTTGTATGCATTTCACTAAACACAACTTCCAATATTGCAGCTAAACTCTCTGAAAATATTCTTCAAGAAATGGTCTTACCAATTCACCTTCATAATTTAATACCTATTAAAACCTAAAAATGAATTAGATTTGGAATTTCCTGGATTCTTGTGTTTGTCATGCAAATTTTCAGGGCTGTTCTTTTTATGATAATATGAAATAAAGTAGTTTCTTATAGTAACATT